TTCGTTCGACAGCTCAACATGTACGGATTCCACAAAGGTTAGAACGCCGCTCAACTCGAATACGGGCAAATTCCAGGGCTGACACGACGCAGTAAGCGATGTTTTTCACACTACCAACCCGGAGACTGCTCTGTGGGAGTTCAAGCACGGAAATGGCAACTTCAAAAGGGGCGATCTCGTCGGGCTGCGGGAGATTAAGCGCAGAGCTTCTCGGCATGCTTTAGTCCACCGAGAATATCCCAACTCCAAGCCGAGCCCATCGCAGCCAGGGACCCCAGCGGAGCCGATGCCCCCTCCCAACGACGGCTCGGATCCTCGAATGGGTGGCATTGAGCACACGCTTTACGATATGAGCATGCGCCTGCAGAGAAGCGAAGAGAACGCACATTACATGCACGTGAAACAACAGGCTGTGATGGAGACAATGTCGCGTCTCCTTCAATTCAATCAAGAGCTATCGCGGACTATTTTGAACCTGGTTCCTAGCCCAGACAATCCAGTTCACAGAGATGGTGAGTTTCGCCTCTTGTGAGGGCGAGCGAAATCACTGACAGTCAGCATTTAGTTCTTAACCTGCAGGCGGAAATGGCCCGCCAGGCGGATATGCTCCGGACAATTGACGACCCTCAAGAGTCCCCTTTCGCCAATAGCCGAGCTTATTTTTCCAACGTTGAAAATGCCCCTGTTTCGCCCCGACAAGTACCCCAAGACGACCCAAGACGAGCCAATCTTGCAGTTCCTCAGCCAAGAGGGCAGAATTTCTACCGGCCTCCCGTACCTTCGAACTTATCCATTAGCACGCGACGACCGTACGGGTCAATTGGCGGGAGTTCCGCGCCACAGGCCTCATCCCCCTTGAGGGGAGCGCCACCTCCACCTCCGCCGGGACCTCATCCCTTGGCTCAGGTTGAGCCGCCTCCTGGAAGCCTTGCCAGACGCCACACGTCTGCCGACATCCGCGCCCATGGTTGGCAGCCAGCCGCCCCGCCGTTCGCTTCCGGTCCCCCCTCCGGGCCCCCCTCAGGACCGTGGCCATCGTCGCCCAGTCGGCTCGCGCCAGAGGATCAACGTCTCAGGGAGTCGTTGTCTACTTACTCACTACAAGGTGCTACTCAGTCACGCCCTCTCTCCCGGCCCGCAACTCCTCCTGCGCCATTCTCCAATGGCGGCGGAGAAGTTTTTGGGGCCTGGTCGTGGAACTCGGCCAATAGAGACAATAAGAACCTGTCCGTCAGGGACAGCTCAGGACCTCCTACTAGGCGCGGCAGCATGGCCCACATCCTCAACCCGACTGACACAGCCGAGAGGGATGACGAGGACGAGGATCCGCGCGGTGACGATGACCGCAAGCGCAAGCGAATGCAGTGATCGAGCTTGCGATGCTGTTTCGGCACGCGGCGCATGTCGCGGCATACGGCGAGGCGCCCGTACATCTTGTGACAAATACCGGATGAAAGTCGGAACGTTTCCTTTTTGTATACCTTAGAGGAAGAAAGGCGGTGCCGGGTTCGGGCCGGCGTATGATTTTGCACGGATACCTCCACGGCCGTCCACCAAAAACGAGACCCGAAACGTATACGAAGCCCACGGCCACAACATAATCGGATCAGGTTCCTGGTCAAACATTTTCTATCCCCAAGTGGACGGGACATCTGGATACTTTTACACAGCCAAAAGTTCTACACCCCTTGTCGATTTACACGCATTTTCATAGCATCCACGGCGGGCTTGCGTGACACACAAAACATACACCACACAGTCTTAGTAATTCAGCGCCCTCGCGGTGTCACAGAACCAGACCCAGTACGGATCGCGCGACCCTTTTCTCACATTTTTCCCTCTCAGATGGAGGCTGTATGTTTACTGTCGGAGCTCAGGATGAGGAATACCCAACGGACACTCGGCGGCGGGATTTGTCAGGATTTGTCCATATGGGGGAATAATTGCGTTGGCGATGCTGCATTTAGGATGCGTCAGAGGAATGAGGTGATTTGAAGCATTTTCCATATCTGATTAGTAGGGGGCACTCGGGTACGAGCACCAGCTATGTGTGGCTTTCGATATGGTGCCATGGCGAATGCCACGGGAGGTCTTGGCCGGATCTAGTGTGGGAAAGGTGCAATGCAACACCGAATGCCAATGCAGAACATAATTTTCACTGATTGAAGCTGCTGTCGGCTGTGGTGACCGTCGATCTGGGACTTGAAAAACGCGCCCTTCGACGCTGACAAGGGAGGCAGGCCAATGACGTTTTCCGTGAGATTAGGTCCCAAGGCTTCGGGTCAAGGGAGCCAGCCGCAAACGAATGTCGATCTGCGCCCTGTCTTCAACGCCGTTTTGATCCGTTTCTACCACCGTCCCGGCGGCGGCGACGACGACTACGACGACCGTTCGGGCTTCTACGCTCAGACGCTGCCGTCCACCTTCTTCGTCTTCTTCTTCTTCTTCTTGTTCTTCTTCTTTGTTTTGGCTTCGCCTGTCTCGGGTACCACCGCCTGCCCTAACCGTATGTCCCCAGCCATGGCATCTTCAGGTCTCGCTTCGGAGACGCCGGCCTCCGCGTCGCTTTGGTGCATCTCGACATCTGGTACACCAACATCGGCCGCTTCGGGAACATCTTCTTCGTCCATTCTGACCCTCTTATGCATCTTCTTCTTTCGGCCAAGTCCGCTTCGTCCCTCCTCCTCCTCGCTCTCCTCCTCTTGAACCCTGCGCTTCTGCGCCGTCTTGTTGTCGGCTTCGCGGCCACGCTTGCCGAGGAGACGACGGCTCAAGTCCCGCGTCGCCGCGGAAGCCTGTTCTTCGGATTTGGGTGCGGCATAGCCGAGACCTGTGTTGGGGTTCTCGAAGCGCAGGTCGGAGTCGTCTGCCACGCGGGTTCTGCTGGTCGGTGTGGTCGTAGGCGTTGCCGCGGGTGACGGTTTCGCGAGGGAGGAGAATGTTCCGTTGTTGGCGGGTGCGGCAGTCGAGGCTGACGACGACGAAGACGACCGCGCGAGGGATGGGTATTTTGCGCGCATGGAGTTGAGGAACGTCGTCTGCTTTGCGGAGGCGAGGGATATCCTGTTGTAGATTGCGTTGAAGTCTGCCGAGGCGGGGAGTTTGGGCGCCGACTGGGCGGGTTCTGAGGAGGGTGCCATGGTGTGTCTGTCCGTTGCGAGGCGTCCAGTCCTTCGGTAGCAACTTCTCACGCCGTGTGAGGTGACGATTGACTTGTTCGCGGGGAGGCAGGATTTGCGCCTCGTCGTCAAGGCTGTTTGCGACAAAGCACTCAGGATCAAGTCAGGTAGGCAGAGATGGAAAACGGCAGTCGTCCCAAATTTTTTGGAGAAGCTTGGTCCGTGCAGGGTCGTTATCGTTATCTTGAGCTCCGAAGGTCAGCGCGCGCGCGCCTTATCTTAGCGTCTTCTTTTTGCAGCACGCTAAAGGGAGCAGGTTCAGGGGTTCGCAGGTGTCAAATGGAAGCCAGCCCGCGGAGAGAAAAAGGGGTTGCGTTTGGCCGGGCTGAGGCGGTGCAACCTTCTCCACAGCTCGCGCGGGCTCGAAGGATCGGTTTGAGTGTGTGTGTGCTTGCCTCCCGGATGCGGATGCGGGGCCGGGGCCGGGCCGATACGGGTACGGTTCGGGACGGTGAAAATCTGTCCGATTGATACGAGGTAATAATTAATGACGATGGAATGACAGTGATGACAGTGATGTGAAAAGGGACGAACATGTCATCCTCTGTGTCTAGGTTAATAGAATGCGATGCATATTTGTGTCTGCGCTGAAGGACACGAAGATTAAGACCACAATGGCATGTATACTGCGGTACATAAGCAGGCCCAACATAAAGTAGGATTCATTCTTGGCGTCTGCTTGTCTACCTCTGCTTTTTTCTTCCTTTTCTTTTTTTTCCCTTTCGTGAGAATTAAATGGACGTAAGTAAATACTTGTTTCTACCGCATTGAGAAAGGGTTCTGTCTGACGCGCGTTGCAACGTCCTTGGCGAGTGAGCCAATGTAACAACGTTATCGATCGTGACAATGTGACTAAGGCTGGTGGACGAGGTTTTATTTCAATCAGCGGAGGATCGTAACGTGGCGCATGCATCTTGGGGTCGTTGTTAACACGTCCGTAGTGAAGCTGCAGTGAGTACATTCCACCAACAAATTCCTCCAGCCTTAAGACTCGTGAAGTTTAGTCGTGTACAATAGAATCTGAGAAGATAGAAGCACACATAACATTTGGTGAGAGAAACACTTGGGTCTGGACCATATTGACCACGCGTAAACTATGGGATTGCCAACGTCACTCCTCGAAACAGATGCATTTTATTTTACTTCACGGGTTTGGATCAAGCTGTAAATACGCAAACTCCACCGAAGCTTCTGTAAGAGAGGACGCGGTCTGAAAAACTTCACGACTTGGGAGCCGGTTTTTCCAGAGAGCCCCCAACAAAATGCTTCGCTCGACATTCCTGATGAGGAGATTCAGCTGCACCAAGAATAACGATACATTTACATAAAGTACCGCACGTTTCATCTTCGATCGACAGGATATAGTTCGGCGAGGAAAATACAGTGTAGACTTGTCTTCAGCGCAGTGAATGTGGGATTGGGCTGATACTGTGTGATTCGGGGCTGACCTCCGTCTCGCATTGCTCCAACATATTCTCATACGCGGCGATTACTTAGTTGGGGAAATGTCCAGACTTTCCTTGAATCTTTATCACGCAGATAAGTTGATATTCCGGACATGGATTCATGTCAGCAAATGTTAAATGACTCCAAACAGCTTTCTTGACACATGGGTTGCGTTCAGCTATGCTCATGGGTACACGATCTCCAATACTTTTGAACACGACCACGTGCTAATTCGCTCGTTTCAAAAGGCCTGGCAGCAATAGCGGACTATCTGATGACCGATCCGTTCACCTCATCACTACCGAGCTCCTCAGAGACGCGCATGTACAGGCTTGGGACTGTGAGGTGGGCGAGACGCTGTCCGCTATGATGACCATGGCCGGCTACGATGACAGAGCCAAGGCCATTCACCGGGGGTTCTTTGGAACCGCCGTCTCAGACTCTCTCGGACCGTATCCTTCGGTTAGGACGCCTCGTTGGGACAGCTTCATGACGAACGACCACAGCCCCGTTGGGCGTGGTCTGATGAGCAGAGCACGCCCACGGTCCTTTACTCAGTTGAGCCCATCTGATGGAGTGCAAGTTCTGCCGACGAACAAGCTGCTGCTTCACTGCTGAACAGAACGAGATCATATGCTCAAGGTCTCGATCTGTCTTGGGGCAGACACTTTCTGCAAAGTACGACAATTTGTTTAAATCATGCAACCCAAATGCCTAGATACAGATGTCAAGATTATGATATAGACGAAGGTGTTTCTTCCTCGCAGACCTTCTCTGCCTTTGACCTCGAGAACGACGGGAGCACCACGGTCAAGTCTTACTTCATACCCACCGTGAAGGCCTCCTCTCTGGGCATATCGAATTTGGACCTGGTTGAGCAGGCCATAAAAAGCCTGCCACCACTAACCCCGAATGCTCCTCGACAACACTGAAGGACCAATTCAGCTTGCTCAAAGATGCCATGCACCCACTGAGCAGCCGGCTGTGGAGATAGTCGCAATAGACTGCGTTAACGCGGCCGATTCCCGCGTCAAGGTCTACATCCGGTCCAAGAATACGACCTTTGGCAGCATGATGGACGTCGTGAGCTTATGCGGACGACTCCCCTTCCTCACCGATACCGTCATGTCCTCGCTCAAGGAACTCTGGGTTGCGGTCTTTGGTTCTGGCGCAGAAGACGACGCGGGTGCCTTGTCGAGGCCGCTGCCCACCATACATCATCGCACCAGCCGCATCATACTACCTAGAGCTGAACCCGATGCTCCGCTCCCAAAGCCAAAGGTTTACCTGCCTGATCGCCATTACGCTCGGGAAGACGACCAGGTTGCACGCGGTTCATCGGGCTTCTTGGAAAGGAGAGGCAAGTCCTCGGCAAATGGTGTGACGTATTACGAAGGAGTAAAGAGTCTGTAGTGAGTCTGACAGTGGCATTTATGTGGATAATATGCTGACTTTTGACAACACAGCAAGCATCTGAGGCTCGAGGATGGACTGGGATGTCACACATACATCACCTGTGCTGTGAAGCATGGTTCAGTGGCCATCAGTACTTATCTGAACCCTGAGCTGTACCACCCGTCGAGGTTTAAATGTACTGGGCCTCGGAGCAGTCATCCATGACTTGGATGTTAGTTTGCCGAGCGGCATTTTCCTTTGCCCGTATAGACGAAAATGCCGAGACGCACGTATAAGCGCGTTGATACCACCAGCTGTCTATCTTGCTCGTAATTGAGCCAAGAGTCTCAATATGTATAACTTAATCCACTTCTACCATCCCTGGCTTATGACCGCCGTCGCCCCTGGCACGCAAGTCGCGTCGCCTCTTTCTCGCCATCTCCAAAAGCTCCTCCCACTCCTCCTCCGTCTGCGGGCATTCCTCTCCCGTCCTAGGATTCCACTGGAACTGCTCCCCAGAGCCAACGCTGCCCTGGCGGACAACATTCGTCCCCCAGAGACCAGAAACCCAAAACTTTGTGCGCCTCGGTGGCAGTGGCGTCTGGCAACCCCAAGTATCGTCCTCCGGGAACTGCGTTCTTTCAGCAATGAGGATATCCTCCTGCATGGTAAGAAGCCACTCGTGAGTAGCAGAGACGGCCTCGGTAAGGGTGACGTAGGGCTTCTCCTGCGCTTGAATCACCAACTTCGACTTCTCGGTCATGGACAAGTACGGTTGGCTCTCACACTCCTCGTCGCAGCAGTAGAACTTCGTAACGCCCGCGCGCTGAGCTTCCTTGATGTTGTCCCAGTCAAACTCGTGCAGCTCCGTCATTCTCTCGCTGAGCGCGAGGAATTCGTCAAAGATGCCGGCATATGGGAGAGGAAGGGGTAGGTAGCGCAAGGCCATGGGGTGAAATGCCTTGGAACCATCCGGATTCTCGGTCACAAACGGCTGCCGGTTCTTGAATGCCTCTCCTGTGGCAGCTCTGCTGTCGAGGACGGTGATGTCGGTGATGGGTCTCAAGATCGGCCAGACCAGGAGCAGGGCTTCGGGGCACTCGAAGGCGGCGGCGGGCTGGACTTTGTCCCAGAGAGACTCATCGTCGGACCGAGGGAGAAGTGTTCGTTCAGTGATGTACAGTGGCGAGTAGACGACGTCGACATAGGCCACAGTGGGAGACATGGTGCAAGTGCCGCCAACTGCGACGTCTCTGACGTACGAGAGACGAAGAGGAGGGTAAGGAAACCGAAGGACCGGCGGTGAGGGAATGGAAAGGAGGCAAGTTAGAAGTACTCACGTACATTGAAATACCTTAGGTACCAACAGATGGTTCATAACGGAGTAGCAATCACAAATGACAATGGCTGGATTTGGTAGAAGGCATCCATGTACTTACATGGGTGTCAACTTGCTGCCAACCCCACTCTCATATTTGAGTATATTCGACCTCGATAGCCCCCGCGCGTCTTTGTTTCTTCCACATGTGATTCGAAATATTATTTGAACCTGAAGTTGAAGCACATCATCGCAACCAGTCTGTGTTGCTGGGAGATCTCTTGGTTGTGGACCAGAACCATGCTGCCTCACTATATGAACCACCTTCTCACTCCAAGTCATCACATACGACCATACCCATTGGAAAACTCGGGATCCCGTCCGCTCTCCCATAGATAAGCCAATGAGGGCTGGAGTAGTAGTCGGGTCGGTGACGACCGGCGAATGCCCGGTGTTGTATGTTTTTTATGTTTTGCTTCTGTCCAGGTGGTGGGTGACGATAGCTTCATTTTGCCAATCATGGGGGAAAGCGGGGCCATCCACAGGCTCACCTTGTAGGAGTCTGTTCGAGACCGAGCACGGACTAAGAATCAAGTTTATGGGTTTGAAAAGCTGAGTTCACTATGCTTCAAGGTTATTCGCGGAGTTGATGTATTATGTGGTAGATGCTGTCGCTTATTTAAATGTGACAGCAATCTTGATGTGTTTCGTGAAAGGCACCTCAAATCCGACCCCTGCCTGTTTGCCATCAACAGAAATATTCTGTTTCCTGTCCCAAACTTGGTCGGGAATTCTCGCAATGCCATCCAGACCAGGCGGCGCCCAGGCCTCCAGCAACCACCCAGCCTTAAACACCTGCCACTTCACAACGATACCATCCCCAACAGGCGTCGGCACCCTTCCTTGCGCCCAATTCAGACCATTTACATCAAACCTCGGCCAGATCCTAAACTCCTTGAACCCAGGGGCAAGAGGCTCGACGCCCAGGGCATACTGCGATAGTATCGAGGTCGGCCCGGCGCCAAAGAGCTGCGCGTATGAGCAGAAATCGCCTTTGAAAGGCGTGCCGTCGGGGTTGAGAAACTCCCAGGTCGTACCGGTGAAGTGTTCGCTTGATTTGTCTGCCATGGGGCCAAAGACGCTGCGGAGTACGCGCTCGCCCTCGGCTGGTCGACCTTCTTGAAGTGCAGCTTGAATGTGGAAAGCGGACATTATGGGTGAGATAACGGGCGGTGGACCGGGGGTGTCTGGGCTAAAGGATAAAGGGGCCTCGTTGATGGTAGAGGGCAAGACGAGGGAGCCGAACTTGTCGAGCAGGCTAGGTATCTGCTCTTCTTTGCATATGTGTTTGAGAATAAGCCAGGCGTGCATTTCTTGCTGGAAGCCTTCGGTGCGAGTGTCTGTGATATCATAGTGTCCCGAGTTTGCGTTGAAGCAGTGCTTCCGGACTGCGTCGACTATGCTCATGGCTGAAATAGTGTAGGCTTCTGCTGCCGCTTTGTCGGAGATGCCTGGGCTCACAGCAATATGTGCGCAGGCTTTGAGGGACGCAATGAACAGGGCATTGCGCTTTGTAGAGATACCTGTTTGGAGTCCGTTGTAGTAATCGTAGTCTCCCACGTCGAAGCCTTCGGCGCAAACAAGACCATCCTTGTTTACTCGTGCTGAAACATAGGCGATGCAGCTTTTCAGCCTGTCCCAGCAGAACTTGACCAAAGCCTCGTCTCCGGTGTACAGCCAGTAGTCATGGATCACAAGGATCAGGTAGAGAGAGTAGTTGATTGTCTCGATGTTGAAGAAACCGTCAGTCAGGTCTCGAGTGAAGTCTCGGCCAGGAGGCACGCCTCCCGGGAGAAGCCCGCGCCCTGTTTCGTCACCCTTAAACCTTAGCATAGAAGCGACAATGTTTCCTCGTATGTACTCTGAGCCTGCCGTGGAGTAGTAGGCTGATCGACCACCCACAATGATGTCGGCTGTCCATGGGTATCGATCGCGCTTGGCACCATCAAAGACGAACGGAAACTGATTCGTTTTCAAGCCAAAGTCACCAAGCACCGCCGGTGTATTGAGCCCAGATTCGTAAAGTACTTCATTATTGGGATTTCGGACCACGAGGTTTCTGAAGCGGCAAAGTTGATCCTGCCCTGCCCCGATGGCAATAGAGCCCTTGGGAAAATAGGGGAAATCGGGGTGATCGGGAGGAACTGCGAGACTTGCGAAGCCCTCTGCGAAATAGTTAGCTTCTTCATTCAATTTCCCCCAAAGGCGATATCACCCACCAACTTTGAGACCGCCTTGCTTGAAAGTCGCAACTTGAGTGCCGTCGATGCTAATAGACACGGGAGCGTCGCCGATGCAGCCCGTCCGAATCCGCAGCCATTCGCCTTCAGCTATCCTGGACTCACGGACCTCAACTGAGGCAATGAGCTTTGGTACCAAAGTTATCTGGGGCTTATTGTAGTAGCCGAACCACTGTTCGATGACTGCTTTGCCGTCTTCGACATTGAGTTGAAAGAGCATGCCCGGCATGCCAGGAGACACGCGAACCATCCACGCCAGACCTCCCTCAATGATCATGCCATCAAACTCCAAGTTGTAGTCTGTCCAAGAATGTCCCCACCCATAGGCATTGCATCTTTGAGAGTCTACCAAGATACCCATGTCCTCCGAGACCTGCCACGGGGAAGGTATAGAACGAGCTGGCACGCAGTTCAGCTGCAACGTCCTCGCTCCATAGCCCCAGAGCTCTGACAGAGTCTCGTCAGAGCATTGGAAGTATCCCGGAAGCCGATCAGTGGGAATATTCGAGGTTGTAGGCACGAAGCCTACCAAAGAGATGCGAACCGAGCATTGGCCCTTCGTGATGAGAGAGACCTTGAGCCAGCGCTGGCTTCCTTGCACACACTTGGCCTCGTAGAAGCCTGGGCCGCTCACTCGAAAGCGGACACGGCGGGAGGTATCGGCACCGGCTGAGAAAGGGTATGGCCCATCGCCTTCGCCCTTTGTGATTCCTGGGTAACCTTCGGAAACCGTGAAGTCAATCAAGGCCTTGTTGGAAGGCGCGTCAAGCCCATGGATATATAGCACTGGGATGCCGGCCACAGCGAAGCCATAGTCAAGGGTGACACTGCCACTCTCCTCCGTGGAATTGTCGAGAGTGGCGTAGCTATCAAGTCGAGGAGTCGTGAGGCTGTTCGCGGATGTTGTGTTGACAAAACTGTGCACCCGTTTCGGTACGAGGAACTCGGGGATGTCGTCTTTCGCGAAAAGATAGTTTGGCGAGAACGGCTCCGGTATGGTGGAGGGGATGCTAAATTCGAGCTGAGCCATTTTTGCGTACTTGGACACCTTCTCCGGACTTTTCTTTTCTTATGAGCTTCCAAACCAGATCATCGTGTGTTGTATTCGTGAACTATCTATCGTCAAGCCTAAACACTTCATAGTCGGCACACGGAAAGAATGGTGGAAGGGGCCTATGCCGTCGGCGCTTCCATTTACCGGATCAGACGACCGAGAAAGCTGCCGAAAGACCGGGTGTTTAAGACTGCCCTTTTGGGCATTAATCAGGCCGGCCGGCGAGCATAGAGCTCGGCTGCCCAGAGACCGGGCTTGTCTAATCTGATGGCAACGAAGTTAGGTGGGCTCACTACGCAGGGTTCTTCTTGCGTTCTTCCCTCTCAGCTTGCTCGTCACCGCAATAGTCGATGAGACCTGTCTAGATGGAGTAATAATGGGGAAACCGCGGGGAAAGTATTGGATCATTTCGTCAGAGAAGAGCCGGTCTTGGTCATGGGGACGGTCAAGTTCGTCCTGAGTCGCCAATTTCAAGTTTGCCAGCCCCAAACTCCACAAGCTCCACTGTAACCCCCGCAGTGCGAGTGCACCAGGCTCCCCTGTCGAAGCAACTCTCATTGGCCTCGTTCGTCAAGTTGAGGATCCGCAAATCCCCCACGGAGAAATACCCCTGTCATACACCATTGACAGACCCGGCCTGCCGCTCTTTGCAATTGATTCTCGTCGCGTGTTGACGTATCCATACCAGACTGACGAACCCGAGAATCTGGCCACAGGATTCCCCGCCTTCCTGGTCTCTTTGCCTCGTTCACGGCAGATGATTATGGGATCCCAGTCCGGACATCGTGAAGCCCCAGTTGAGTAACACCAAGCCCCCGGGCCCCCGCAAATGCCAAATGCAGTCATGGTACCCGCCCCTGTCTTCTCCAGATGTGTCAAGTAGCCCCTCGTTTTCTGCTGTCCCAGAATGAAATGAGCCGTAGCCTCGGGAACACGACCTCAACCTTCGGCAATAGTGAGGCTCGTGGCACCACCTCGGCCGTGCGAACGGGAGATGAAAACCTACCGTTGTGTATAAAGCTTGGGGTGGCCACTTCTATTGCGACGTGGTTGTCTACTCGCAAGCGTCCACCTGAGCTCGATTCAAGTGTGAACATAACCACAATGGCTTCGATGACCGAAAAAAAGGCCTCACAGAAGGACCTACATGCGTCGCAGCATGTTGAAGCACCGACAAATGTTGACCTTGAGTCGGTCGCCAACCACCAGGACGAGAAGATCACTTTGCAGTACATATGGGAGAATAAAAGAGTGCTGGGATGGTGTAAGTTGATGAACGTTACGAGACAGAATCTATCACCGACTCACACTCGTATGAAGGCCTCCTGATCTTCCTCCTGCCGGTGAACTTTGGCTACGAGGCCAGCACTGTTGGCAACTTGCTTGCTGTAACGCCCTTCCTTGAGGAATTTGGCCAGCAGGTCGACGGCGAATGGGTCGTCAGTGCCAGAGATCAACAAATTCTGAATGCGGCAACGACAATCGGCCTCTTCGTCTCGGCGTTCGCGACCGGCTTCGTTTCGGACAGACTTGGGCGCAAGAAGACCATTATCGGGGCCTGCATTCTTTGCGTTGCTGGCGTTATCGCGCAGTACTTCGCCAAGTCCATTATGCAGATATTCGGCGGAAAAATCGTGGCCTGCTTCGGCTTCGGATTGGGGCATTCTCTCGGCCCCGTTTTTGTTGCAGAGCTCGCGCCTGTCAGGATGCGTGGAACATGCTTGGCGTTAGTGGTGCGTCACCCCTGGACCGACATCCCTTTTGGAACATCACTAACCTTTGAAAGAACACTATGATTGTCATCGGCCAATGGCTCAACTCTCTGGCTGTCTTTGCGAGCGACAAGACGCACACTGACCAACTCGCATGGCGCATCCCTATCATCACACAGATCATTCCTCCGGGCCTGCTCCTGCTCGGTCTGCCTTTTCTGCCCGAATCACCCTCATGGCTGATTATGCATGGCAAGCCTGACGAAGCGGCCAAGTCTTTCCGTCGATTCAACGGGCCCAACTTTGATGTCGATGAAGCCATGACCATCATGACGGTGGCGGTGGCCAAGGAACAGGAATACTCAAAGGAGGGTGGATCTTGGCTTCAGTGTTTCAAGGGCCCTGATGGTCGTCGGACACTGATCATTTGTTTTGTGTTCATCTCACAACAGTTCATTGGAGTGAACTTTGTGTCTGGCTACTTGACGTCAGTATAGAGACGAGAAAATCAGTACGGTATTCGTTGCTAACATGGCTGCAGGTACTACTTCCGCCTCGCAGGCGTCCAGAACCCGATCGGCATCGCTCAGGCAGCGTTTGCTGTGCAGCTCTTTGGCAACATGTGCTCCTGGCCTCTCATTGACCGCGTCGGTCGCCGTCCAATGATCGTCGGTGGCTGTTTTGTCATGACGGCCACTTTGTTGTTGATCGGAGGCATCGGCACGTTGGAGAACAACCAGAAGGCGTTGATGGCTACCGTCAGTCTGATGACGATCTGGGGTTTCTTGGTAAGCGCGACGCAATCTGACTTTGTCGAATTGTATCTAAGTTCTCGCAGTACCAAATGACACTCGGTGCGACGAGCTACTCGGTTGGAGGAGAAACGCCAAGCAACCAGCTTCGCCAAAAGACGTACAGCATCAACATCATGTCCGCGACAGCTGTCTCGTGCATGACGCTACAGGTGATGCCATATCTGTGAGTCTAGTCACTACCGATACAAGAAACAGCATGAGCGCACAACGTACCAGAGCTAACGTTTGGTAAACAGAATCAATCCTGACCAGGCTAATTTGGGGGCGAAAATCTGCTTCGTATTTTTCGGTCTGTCGGTGCCCATGTGCGTACACTTGTACTTCTGCTTGCCGGAGATGAAGGGTCGCAACTATCTTGAGCTGCAGGAGATGTTCCAGAAGGGTGTGCCAGCACGGAAGTTCAAGACGTATAAGTGTGATTGCATGCTTGATGCATCGCAGACCAAAGTGGTTGACCGCGAGGAGTAGTGGGTAGAAGCACTGCTGTGTCGACGAAACGGGGCAATTTTATTCGCGTAAATCATGAGCTTAGGTTGACTGGCATGAATGGACAGTCTCGAATTCGAACGCTCAAGGCGAAGCAAGGAGGTTGGTCCTCAGGCAGAAGCCCCCCTGAGGCAGCAACACCCTCCGTCCCAACGCGGCCGCCCCATGGTATATGCCCCCAAAAAGCAAGATCGTCTATCACAACAGTCCGTGGTCTAGTGGGATCATTAGGCGCTTCAAAGCGAGTTTTTCTGAACGTCTCACACCACGGGTGCGCAGGGTTCGAGACCTGCCGCCGTTAGAAAAATTCCTTGCATCGTTACACCTGAGGTTGGTAAGAATCTCCTGGGAATTTTCATAAGCCTCTGGCTGAACTTTTTTTCTCTTTTTCAATTTATTTTTGGATTTAATTTCCCCTTGTATCTCACTAATTGATTGCGACTGATGGCTTTGATGTGGTCGCGGTTTTCGAGGGTGAGTCGTCGACGCGACGGGCAGGAGTGGGCTTACCCCACACAATGAGGTGTGCGCGTAGAACGACCCAACGGTCTGGTACGCTAGGCCCGTGCGGTGCTAGCCCCCGCTTGTGACGGGGCACGCGATGGTGCCCTGAGCTTCTGGAAGGTGTGGTCTGGGCAAGGTAGGCCGCGTCAAGGCCCAAGGTCCCAAGTCTCAAGTCCTGTCCAGTGTCACCTCATTCCCGTCGGTAGCGAGATTGATTCGTTGCCCGCGCCACGGGAAAAATGCGACTGCCGATCGTTTTCTGATGTCCCGGCGATGTGCGATGCCCATCGGACCTCTCCGTGACCCAACGCGACCGCTCTGAAGAGAAGCTGCAATCTTCTTCCATCTGGATAAGCCCGCCAGCAGCGCTTCCATCCATTCGGATGCTAGAATTACCCATGACGACACCTTTTTGTATGTGGTTAGGTTGGATTTCGTCACTCCTCTGCTGGCAACAAAGTTCCAAGACATTTCGGCCAAGACAGCTGGTCCCGGGAGCTAGTTCTTGTCGGATGCAAAATTAGATTAGATGGATCCGTGATTCTGGGTTGCAGGGGTTTTCTGACTCGTCGTGGAACATAGGGTCCAGCACAACGGAGGTAAGTCTGTGAAGGGGACGAATGCCGTTGCGTGCGAAGCCGGGTCAGCACTAGAACACTGGATAAATCTGGGGTGCTGGTGTTCGGTGTTGACAGCGGTGGTTAAAGGGTGGCTCGTAAGCCCACCAATCCGGTTATCAGGAGCAACTTATGTTGCAATCTTCTGTGATGGAAGCATCTGAAACATCTAGATTTACCGCATGCTGGTCGTAAAGCCCCTTGAAAGGCCCGACTGTTTGGTTGCAGCGGTCCCACGCACATGGGTGACCGGGGTCCAGGTCGGACGGTTGGGTACGGTACGCGGGGGTTGGTGCCCCGGCCTCAAGGGCTCAGCATAACTGAATATTGCAGCGTCTTGTCTATAGCAGCTATCTTCCGCGACAAGAGAAGTCTCGATTGATGCAAGTCGATGTGATTGAAACGTTGCAATGTCAGTCAATGTTGATAGCAATTTCGCCCGAGTTCGGTAGCTCGTACATGGTGGCTTTCAGCCCGTTGGAAGGCATGCGCCATGGTGTGATCCACTGCCTCAACGGTCTCCCAAAGCCATAGCCTTGTGTGGAGACGCCAAGTCGCATAAGCTGCCTGTACATTTCGATTTGTGCAAGAAAGGTTCTTCCGGAAGATTTGTGATAATCGGCAGCCATCGACGTCAGTCTTCCAGGAAGGCTGAGCCAAGCAAATCCCGCTCTGACTATTGCTGGCAAAAGCTCACCAATGCAAAGCCTCTTGTCAAAATTGGAACGCGTGCTTTTGTACGGGAGCAGCACGCAATCTACTAGGCGCAATACTTCTGTGCAATTTCGGCTGTACCCACCCCTCGGACTGTGTTCGTGGTCAATCTTGGACACATCTGGCTTCCAAACAACCCAGCTCACCGACACACCAAGAAGGGTAGCGTTGGAGTGGGTCGGTGTCGGCCGACACTTTCTTGTGTGTCTCCAAAGTTAAGCGACCCCATTCCTCGGACGCTTCTCTGAGGGCACCCGACTGGTGTGCTCCTCTCCATGTGTTGAATCAAATAGTAATACAAGGTAGTGATCCTCTCAATGCCGGTACAATTAAAGGTGGCAGACTTGGTGATGGAGACATCGTCGGCGCAGGGAGAAGTGTCGGTGAGGGACGGCTGTCACCCACTAGCACTGTCCTGGTTTCCGGATATCTGGGTTCGAAGATGGCGTACTTTCAAAGTCGGCCAACTGGCCATTCTGGGATACATAGCCCGCAGAGGGGAGCGGCCGAGCAGCCGGTCATGGCCGCCTGGCGGATGCCTCGTTCCAAAACCTGCAGAGTATCCATCTGCACGCATGAGAGATTAGCATGTGACGTTGGGGAAGGGGATTCATTCTGCCTTGGACTCCGCTAGAACACAATCATGGCTGTCCCAAAGAGCTCGGGCCAAGCTGATGGAAGTTGTGATGGTTGTCTCGTCAAAATACCGTGCCATCGCGACGGCTGGGAATTGCAAGGAAATGTTGTCGACGAGAAGCACCAGCTTCAGTCGGTGCACCGGGGCGGGGTCGGCGGTGGGCACCCCAAGGTTCCCCCTGGCGCTCCATGTCCAGTGCCTGTGGCGCCTGCCTTGCACGGGGCCGCTGTGCTTGGTAGGGGTCTCCTTGAGGTCCTAGAAATTCAATTGAGGGTCCATGCATCTTCTTCCAACTACACACCACTCCAAGCTGCCATCCTCGTTCATGATACAACCTCCAATCCGGGTGCGCCATTTCTTTCCCCATTGCTACGCCGCTCTCCTGCATCCATTGATTGGAATAAGAACGATTCTGACAATCAATCAGTCTGCCTCAGGGCCAGAGGCACCACGGCCCCAGTTATCCGCTGACCATGCGTTTGCGAGATCCTGGAAACGTCGTGGCTGAGGATCACAGCTATCGCCACCCTTGAAATCCTTGGCTGTCTACGGATCCCTCTTCAGTTTGGAATCACACGGAACACGGACGCGGAAGCGGGAATTGGCACGTTTGTCAAGACTTCATCCTGCTACAGGACTGGCCAGCTTCCGCTTGAGGCATCGCTTATGCAGGGCCAATCCCACGGCACATCGCCTCTGTTTCCGACAGGCAAATAATTCGTTTCCAGTGTCCACAAGACATTGGATAACTCATCGCCGAAGAGAGAGCGGTGAACTGGGGTAAGAGCGGGGATCACCATTCAATCGACGTATCTTCTACAGTTTTGGGGGCCGACGCACCTCTGATCCCTGCCATTTCTGGCATCCACCATCCCAGAGCCGCCGCTCCTTTTTCGCGAATTTTCTCTTGCATATCACCATGCAATCACACATTACTGACCCTCCATTCGCAGAAGGCCGAGCCCCGATTCAAGGAACGACCTCGGCCCAAACTGTGGCTGTTGCCTTCTCTCCTTGCCTCTTTTCATCACGCTGGCCAACCACGTGAGCACACCAGCCACATCTAGTGTCCTCGCGCGACCTTTTGGTTCCAGCTTTCACGCACTAGCCACACTTCTCGCCGAGTTCTGGCGGACGCTCCGCAGTCGCTCCGCAACTCTACTTGTCAACTAGCTTTAGTTGCATCGCAAACGCACCTATACACGATCAACTCGTTGAGATTTGGAGCCTTGGCAATATCCAGCCAGCGAGCTGGACGGGTTCCTTGGATTGTCATACTCCAGCGGCTTTGTGGCTGATGCTTTGCATCCCGCGTTGAGGATGACAGACGCCTGGCCGGCTTCGTGAAGCGCCTTCCCCGGTTTCCATTCAAAAGTTCAGAGACGGGAAATGAGCAGAGAGCCTTGGGCTTTTACCACGGAGACGATGCCAGGTTAGGCTTGGTCAACACTTTGACCAGCCGCAGACCGGGTTTTTGGGCTGTTGGGTAGGGTTTTGCGGCCCGCAGCCTTAGGGATTATGTGCCGGTCTGGTACTAAACTCAAGGGTGGTTATGAGACACAAATTGTGCTCAGAAATGCTCAAGGGGCGACTTCCTAGTCGGCCGCAAAAGGACAAAACAGCCAAGTCTGGGTGCGGACAACTGCGAATCGGGCGACCCAGCCTACCAGCCTACGCTCTCGATGTTGATTGCACCTGCCCAACGTGGCTGGGCTCTCGAAGCAGTTGAATGGTGGTGCCATATCACTTTGGATGGCTGGTTCGCCATTTCTGGTCACCTCTCTTCTTTCAGTCAGCCCGTGAGTGCTCGAGACGAACGTAATTTCAAGTTTTGAGTATAAGACCGTCAACTGTCCATTGTCACCAACAACATCTCAGTCTAATTACATTATACTCGCTGATGGCTCCCTACACTTCAAACTGTTCAACCTTATCTGTAGTTTACCTTAATTCATGCCATAATGTCGCCCTCTGAGCGGAGACCGCCCCTTGAGAGGTGAGTTTCCAGTTGACTTCATGTCATGATTTCAGGCTAGCTAACTTTTTGCAACCAAGCAGTGTCACTCCATCTATTCGATTTGACCCTCTCGCTGCCCGTATTCCACGCCAATCACAGCTTGCGAGGTTTCAACGCGAAGACCAGAGAGAAGGAAACGCTCTTGTCACCCTACCCGACAGTTCTCGAGATGTGAAGTCAGCGATTCAATACCACAAATCTCGTGCCGCTCAGGCGATCAAGCTTTTCCAGAAGAAGTTTGGGAAGCAGCCCGAGCAACCGTCGACAGAGTCTGCCCAACCAGACTCAAAGGGGCGCAACTCGACCTCACATGAGGAAGCGAGTCGCTGATGAGCATGTCTCACCGCCATTCGGCCACCGACGAGCCCAATCGGACCCCACACAAGGCTCATATGCAAGTACACAATGCTTTGAGCCATGGAAGGAGGAGGAAGTTGTGCAACATACGAAAGAGCAAGGGGAGGGCTGGGGCGGAGGTTGTGATGAAATGCGTAGTTGTAACACTATACCAGACAACAGTTATGAAATATCCTGTCATGTATTCTGTCAATCTTTTTCAATAACTTTTATTCAGGCCAATCATTATGTTAAGGAATCAATACCTTGTCAATCAATGCCACTGGCGGAGAACATTGGTTGAGGTGCAGGAAACAGGGGCTTCTATTCCAGCTCATGTCGCCATGCACGCCCGATGGATGTGAAATGTGCAACTATGATGTCTTGTAGTTGCCAAACCTTTCTAATATTAGGTTCATTCCATGGATCTTGGAGTTGACGAAGCTTCTGACAACCTTTCAAGATCAGGCTGGCATGTCGGGCACAGCGATGCAGGGGCTCTCAACTCGGAAACCTTCTCCATCTGTTCTCTAACCCCCTTGCATTGCGGAAATCCCTGGACGCAGACCCGTTGAAAGACCGTGTGGATGTAAACGTGGGATACGGGCAGTGGAGCGGGCCAATCTCGTTGTATGGAAGCGCGGCTGGCAGACCAACGCAAGGTACCAGCAGGCGTAGCGGGGTGCGTGAGATGTCCAACACGTGTGGGTTCGGCACGCACGCCCAGCAATACCCCCGTCTCCCTCCTCTTAAAAGGGAACCCCAGACTGCCTTGCTCCTCCTCCTCGTCACCCCTCACTCTATCATGGTCAAAGCTTCTTTCCGAGATAAAGCTCCCCCCCTGGCGGGAACAAGTCAGCCTGGTTGACCGGGCTTCAATTCCGCCTTGGACGCCGTGAGTCCGCCCGGGCAAGACCTACACGACGATTCCCCCACGCACGAGATGCCGGGAGCTGTTGTGTAGGATTGACAACGTCGAGGAGAACAGCCTTCTCGGACCGATGATGACGCCTCTCCTGTCGGTGGTTCCGTGGGTTGGTGTGAAGCTTCCCTGGAGAGCCTTGCCCGAAGCCGCGTGGGTCGTTCGATGATTCTCTCTCCCTTGCGGTCGATCGTTTTGTATCGTCATGAGAAGAATGGTCGCTGTCAACACAGACCGATCGAAGGAAGTGAGTTCTTGTTGACGTGCTTGGCGGTCGGTCGGGCTGACTTGACCTGATGACGGGGTATGTGACTGTGCCGCAAACTTCTTATCTTTTGCCAAGTCCATTCTGACAGAGTTTCTGAGAAGAGCAAGACCCGTTGATCAACTTGTGTCAATAAGCATTTGTTCAAAGCAGCTTTGGGCTAAATAAGTAGCAGACTTCAATTACTGTTCGATTTTGGCTTGGGATGATAACTACTGTCATAGCTTCTTGATGTTGGCGTAGAAGCTGGCAGCTTGGCTTCAGAGTGCGGTAAGTATCTTGCATTGACCAGGACTCCCACATGGGAGATCATGATTATGGCTAACCTTAGAACAGACGCAGCGAACGCCGTCCCGCTAACTTCGGATAAGAATCACAACTATCGTCTGATGTTGGGCATCGGTTTCTGACCTGGATCCTATCCAGTCTGTGCTGCAGGTTTCTCGGGCTTCTCGGGCCTTGGCAGTAGTCTCTTACTTGAAATAAGGTAATCACATCATGGAGTATACGTCTGTGGTGAAACTGATACCACGGACACACTCGATTGTTCAGTAACAATTTCTCATGACTTTAGGTAGCGTTCGAGAATATCGACGGACTTCGTGGACTTTGGCTGGGTCTGGCATTGAGGCTGTCTCGTCCAGTCGCTCTGCTCGCACGCTGAGTAGAGTTTCATAGAAGGAAGAGGATTCTGCGCCTGACAGTAATACTGATTCTTGTACTGACAAAATTAATGATTTTCGCCCGTTCGAATGGCGAGGTTCGTCAAAGCGAAAGTCTTGCTGGTGAGCTATGGGCTACATGTTGCTAGTCGCTATAGCTAGCTTTCTTTGAAAGCCCCTCCGACTTGATAAAGCTTACTGTTGCCGCAATCTCTGACCTCTGATCATATACCAAGAATTCTTTTTGAACAATGATTAGGAACTCCATAGAAAATAACAGAGAGTGAGAGTTCGTATGTAAACGATTTGTCGACGTTTGCATCGCGTTCACGCCTCGTTAGAGTGACCAACGAAGAGGTTCCCAAACATGGTTAGGATCAATGGAGATTGGGACATAATTGGAGAAAGCATTACAGACCATGCCCCCTCCGGAAGGTCAGATTGGCCAAAGGCTGCTGCGTTCAAAGCCAGCCGCGGTCTGTTGAGTAGGGGGGGGACACATAGGGGGTCCAAGTTGACGAAATCAGCTGGAACTCCGGTTTAAAAGAGGCCATTAAACCGTCAGCATATGCAGGTTTGAGTAGGATTCAGCGGTCCAGTCCAATCGGGTTTTGACAAACTGCATCTGAAGAACCAACTGAGCGGGGTGCCAACAAGTGGGCTGGGATGTTCACGACCAGGGGGCTGTTGGCCCATCTGTTTCCCGAGGTGTCAAAACCACATTTAATCCCCGTTCATTCCCGCCCACCATTTGGCATTTCCCAAAACCTTTTCATCTTTTTTCCCCTGGAACGCGACTTTGAAAAAGGGTGTGCTGCTTAGCAGAAATGGCGGAACACGCTCCTCAACCCCCTGTTGCTGTGAGTGCAATGTGCTCTACGTCGCAATTGCGGTATATATCATACTACATGGGGCAGAGTTGACTGATGTAAAAAAGGCGACTCAAGTCGAAGATGACGCCGTGTCTGTAACGCCTGAGGTTAGCCGTTCCCATGTCTGTCTGAGGTGGGTTTGAGTCCTCAACTAACAATTCGAAGTCCTTAGCATCGTCGAAGGCTTCCTTGAGGTCTAGCATTATGGAATTTCGAGCAGAGAATGGCCGCACCTACCACCGGCTGAGTGACGGAAGTGAGTTGAAAGCCGAAAGTGGTGTGAGAAATCTCTTACCAACAACAGTACCGCAGAGTATTTTGGACCGAATGATGAGGTAGGGCTCGGCTTTGATTTCTTTCTAGAGTGGGGGCTAACGTCACTTGACGCAGACGGAGCAAGATCGTCTGGGTACGTCTAGCCAAAATCAAAACGATAGCATGCGACTGACGATGGATACGTCGTAGACCATGCTCATGAACTGTGGCTGAGAACGTGGGACAGCCTGTGTAACAGCCCCAAGAAGTACGGTGCGAACCGTGTCCTGGACGTTGGAACTGGAACCGGCATATGGTCCATAGACTATGGTATGGTGGAAAGCACTTCGATTTCTTTGAGAATTCTGAGCTAATCATACTGTAGCGGACGAGCATCCCGAGGCAACCGTGAGTCACTGAGTGAAGCTGACCTTAATTGAGCTAAGCAATCACAGGTTATCGGGGTTGATTTGAGTCCGATCCAGCCTGAATTGTGAGTTTGTTATGACTTTCGTCCAGCCACGAGAGATAACTGACCTTAGCTACCAGCGTCCCTCCAAACTGTTACTTTGAGGTGGATGATATCGACAAGCCGTGGATATTCTCGCAGCCGTTTGACTTTATATTCGTGAGGGCTATGGTCGGGAGCTTCCGCAGCTGGCCTAAATTTCTCTCTCAAGCCTACGACAACCTCGAGCCTGGTGGATACATCGAATTACACGACAACAACTTCCCAGCGATATGTGGAGATGGCACAATGACAGAGGACTCATATATCTTGCAGTGGACGCAGAACGTCGTGAAAGCCACCGATGTCGCCGGGCAGCCCATTACAACGGCACCAAGCTTCAAGAGGCTGCTTGAAGAGGCAGGCTTCGTTGACGTTCAGGAACGCACGGAGTACTGGCCCGTCGGCACTTGGGCCGCTGATCCCCGTCAAAAGAACATTGGCTTGTGGTGCGCTGAGAGCATGATGCAAGGCATTGAATCCATCTGCATGGCTCTGTTTACTCGCATGCTTGACTGGACCAAGGAGGAAGTGTTGGTATTCTGCGCGCATGTGCGGGATGAGATGAAGAAGGGCAAGGTTCACGCCTACTTCCTAGTGTAAGTGATTTATAGCTCTATAGCTCTAGGGGTTGAAAGATGTACTAACAAATGGTTGAGGTACTCCGTTTGGGGCCGGAAACCTGAGAAGGAAGCTTCGGAGCCGCCTGAAGCATAGGTGACTCTTGACATAAGGAACCGTTTCCTTTCGTCTAGATAGATTGATCCAAGAGACTTTTCATCTGCAGAGCACATTCTCTCATTCAAAATAGCCTGGAAGTCTCCCCAAAGACCCTTAGCCCGACCCCGCCGCTCGCGCTACCCACCATGATTTTCAAGACCGGGTCGGTCCGGCCCCACCGACTCGGAGAGTAAGAGGCACAAATGCAGGAAACCCGAGTCGAACGGGATCTAGCGATCTTTATTCCTTTAATCTGAAGTCCGTTCTATGCCGCAGGGACACAATGCTGGGAGTGACTATTCTCGACGCGGATGGCAGATATTTGCCACTCCACAGCTCTCCATCATATTAGCGACGAAGGCGGAGTCAAGCAGATGGCTGCATGTATTCCTGGAATAGTCAATGTCAGACCACGACCGTTGAACGTCTGACCAAGGCCGACCCAAATGGACCATGGGAGCTGGTTATTTGGCGGTAAGCCCTTGTCGGATCTGCTTGTGACATGAGTGGCATTGAGACCTGGGGGAAGCTCAACTACCCCAAATTTCTCACGGGCGAACCACACAAATATGGCGAACTGGAGGCGCGGCGAATCCTGCCTTGTCGGCTGCACCCGTCCCTCAAAGAACGAATGACTTGACGAAAAAGCCAATCACGGGGAGATGTGCGTACATGTCGTCCAATTGAGCTTAATTCCTCGACGCCGTGGAGGAGGCGTCCTGCTGCCTCGTTTGCCTCATGGCCAACCTCAACCATCAAAGCCTCAACTGTGTTCACGACCTGCTCTCAGATCATTGGCCAGATTAATTCACTCTCCGACGCATGGCATATACCCGCATCAGTCGTGTGCTTGACTTATCTGCCCGAACTTGGCGGAGGTAGAAGTGGTACTTGAACGCCATGCAACAATGGCAGGGAACTGCAGATGCAACGAAGTAGCTGCTAGAATGCTCGTCCACTTTCAGGCAGCAGATTGTTCAAATGATGCTGCCGCCTCGATAGTTCCCTCCAATAAACATGTTGTGGACAAAATCCTTCGTTGCGACCCTGGACTACGACAGTTTTCATATAATATGGTTCTCAACTCGATTGCGTTGTAGGAAAGCCGCCCTGTTGAATCTCAGAGTTTTTCAATTTTTGTTATCTTTTCTAGACGCGAAACCCTCGAATAAAGGTCAAATTCTTCGCGAAGCCCTCGACGCCAGTTTAATATCACTGTTGCACAGGCACGTCACGCTCAGATGGACACCAGCTCTACCAGAACATTAGTGAACGGGTACGTAGTCTTAGCACATGGACTCACATCCCGTATTGATTGTAATACATTACGACTTGTATTTCACATTGCATCAGCGGAGCGTTGCTTTTCTATACCATAGGAGCAAGTATTTGGACTGACATGGACTGTAATCCAGTGAAAACCCAGCCAACATGATCGGTTCCGACGTTGACGCCGCCAAGTCGCAAGAGAAACAACGCGTCGCCTCCTTCTTGGCCGACAGGAATGGTCCCATCCCTCTTTTCAGCCAGACCAAAGCCTCTATTCGTCAGCGTATTGACGAAAGAACCAAGATCATAGACGAAGCCATCTCCAAAGTCAAGAAATGAAAGCGATATGTGAGGGTTGGACCTCTCTCTCTGCACGTCAAAGAACGATGCTCCTCCAATCAGAATCTATCAGTGAGACTAGGGTTTCATGATTGGAATAGTGACATCGGCTAACAAGCAACAGATGCTTACCTACAACGCCTCTGATGGCTGGGTAGTGTCAGCTCAGCTAATACGGCTTCCGTAATTATTCGGCCCCGCTCGGATCCGATCCATATACCCTCTCGGATCCGCTCCGGCCGGTGTCCCCGGCTGATACCCGAGTTGCGTTATCTACTGTTGCTCCAGGCACCGGGAAAACAGACAAAGACACCGAAAACAAAGGCACAATGCCAGTGAGAGAGAGACTCTAGCGGGCCCAGCCGTCGCTTTCGCCGAGGATATTCCTCTACTAGCACTGCCGAACATAGGGGCCGCAACTAAAGAGTTGGCTGAGTGCAGGCTGCCCGTTCGCACCGTGCAATGGTGCAACAGGTGCAATAACACGATTCCCCTCCACACCCAAATTGCGAATTCCCTTCCACCTTCTTTTCCTTCGAAACATGTCGTCACTCTTTGGATCTCATAAGCCACGTTTTTTCGGAGATTTCCCCGCTAGCTTCCTCTCGGCTGAAGCCACCTCAGCGGGTTGCTACTGGCGACGAGCCTGTCAAAGCAACTCCTATTTTAGGACAGCGCGGAGACGCATGCGGCAATCCGAGCAGCCTTTGACCGGCGGAGGTGCAGGTGTCACAGATGCAGCAGGCATTGATGCAGCAGGCATTCAAAGGATAATACTTAGATAATCCTTTGGAGAGAAAGTGTCCAAAAACTTGTGTAATTAACGATTAAATAATACATGTGGCTGCCCCGTACACCAGAACGCCGTGGATATCATGCTAAACCCAATGCCCAGTGTCATTCAATCGTGATAATACAGGTTTTGACTGCTATGTTGTTTCTCTCAAGGTTAGCACGTACGGCAAATCGGTCGAGTCTGTTCGGGTTGCCAGTCGGATGACTGAGCCCGATGCCGAGCTTCCGGATGCCCTTGATCTCATACTGGCGCTAGATGAGAAATGACTAGGTCCGTACGCCGGCCGAGACTGAGCAAAGCTGTTTAAGCTCGATGATCTGGATATTGCACCGCCTAGAGTACCTATATTTGGTGTTGCAGGTGCTGTACGGTATTGAAGCCAAGTATGTGCTGAAGAGTTGCGCGCATCCATCTGCGGCACCCTCTTCTTTTGAAAGGAGCCTTGTGTGCTCTGCGTTGCGGAACGGGATAGGTTGCTTCGAGGCGTAGTCGGGTTTGTGCCCATGGGCGCATCGTTATCGATATCGCTCTCTTCGCTGGGCTCGTCCGCAAAGCCTAGTATGGTTGTATCTAAGGGTCGCATGCCTCGGAGGATAGCGGCAAATAAGTGCATTAACTCGCGAAACCGTGCATTCGATATTGGCCGGGTGGAGAATCGCGCATATTCATAAGCGGCCAGGAAGTCTGCGGTCGTCGCGTTAAGCGAAATGACACCCAGCTCAGCCAGGTGTCCGAAGTAATCGCGCAACCCCATTTGCAGAGGTCGCTGCAGAAGTGCTACGGCATCGGGATCGAGCAACGGCGGGATAGTCGAGGATTTTGGATCGGGGGGCGCAGACGTGAGCGCCTTCGCCTCGATGAGGTTCGGTAGTTCGGAGAGGACGGTGCCGTATTGTAGATCGGGGAGATCGAGGGAGTTGGGGGACGACCAGCCGTAGTGTTCGATTTCGCCCCAGACTGGTCGTCGAGGAGGCAGTGCTATGCCTGTCTCATTCTCTGTCGTGGCGGGCTTCTTTAGGCTCACGAGTTGAAACCTTTTCTTTCCTTCGCTGCCTCCGCTGTAGGTTTTCTCTGCAACCGTCTCATCGGCCTCGCTGCCCAGCGCATTGGTCTCGACTCGGGGTCTCGCATCGTAGGCGATTGCTGCGCTGCGTTTGAGGTCCGCCGTGATCATTTCGTGAACCTTCTTGTTCACGTCGCCCCTTTCGATGGGGACCCATGGTTTCGGTATCGATGCGAGGATAGTCTTGTTCAGATACAACCGCGTCGCATAGATGAAGGAGACGATGAGAAGGACGAGAGTGAGGGTCGCGGCGATGATCCATATGTTGTATGGTTGGTTGTTGGAGTAAGCCTGGTATATAGTGTCGCCGGGGGTGACGAGGAGGAGGGCGGCGAGGAGGAAACATAGGACGAAGTAGAAGCTGCCGTATATAAAACGGAAAATTGCGCGTGGAGAGAACATCGGGAATGGTGTGATAGGTGCGTCTCGAGGGAATCAACCCGGGAGGTGACGAGTTTTCTGGACAGAGATCATGGACTGTCGGGTCAGTGCATGAGGTAATGGTGCAAATCGGAAAAGCATGGCTGGGTGAATATGCGCCGATGCGAATAGTGTCGATAATAGTGGCGTGAATGGTCAGAAGAAGAGGGACGTAGAAGGCTAAACATTACATAGGGAACGGAAGAAGGAAGGGGAAAGGTTTGAGGGAACGAGTGTGAGAATGGAGGTTGGTTAAGATGGCGGGAGGTTGCGCCGCACGTAGCGTGATGGTGACGACCTGAACCGGGAACCGCCAGAGCCAGGCGAGGGCGGGAGAGGCTGGGTCATGTTGTTTTATTTCGCTGCGGTCCACTGCTCATTCCCCCCAAATTCAAAAGCGCAGGTGGGGGTTCCAATGGGGGACCCTTGTAGCTTCCAGCTTTCAGGTCTTCCAATTCAAGATTCGGCCTAGCGGCCCAGGCGGGTGAGCGGCCAACGGGCACTAGCCATCTACATTCCAACCCGGGTCTCGCAGGATCACAATGGGCTGGGCTGCTGGACTTGGGGGAATCCTCAGTAGCACTACCTTATTTTTCTCGTTACCGCTGCTCTGTCGACACGAGAAGGCATGACTAGCGTCTAGAAGGTGTCTTACATGTGCGACTGCGCCCAATCGCCGGCATCCAATCGTCTCGCGTCCATTCTGCTTCTGATCCAGACCAGACGGACTCATGCAGTTACATGTGATAGACTTTGGGGCTTGCAATCGGTGTTGTGTTTTACTTTCTTTGATTGTATGGTATACGCACACTTCATTATGCATGCGAATATCTTTTTTTCGTCCGCCTCGCCCCCCATGCGCCCCTCACCGACTGCTCAATCTATTGATCCATCTGCACCAAGCACGCACCTGCGACATGGCCCGTACCTACCGGGCCTGTTGCATTTCAGGGAGCAATGGTCTGTCCTCCTCGGTGGGAGATGCTTCGGTCGAAGCTTCCTTGGCTAGTCTGATATCCGTGCGGCTTAATCTCAAGTCGCTCGCGTAAGGCTCAAACTCTGCCACAACTTGAGCAAGGCCCGTCTTCAGCGCCGACAACACTCCATCCA